ATCGCGCGACCCTGCCCGTGAGCAATCTCCCAACTCATCTCTGCCACCACCGTCAACAGCCGCATGGTATTACCATCACGAGTACGTGAGTCGCCAACGGCGATAGGTAGATGGCACCGCCATCGCGAGTGCGCGAGCCCCTAGCAGAAATCAGCAGAAATTCATTGCGCCGCCCTTCGGGGCAAAAAACGGTGAAAGCTAACGTACGAAACCAGAGGGCAGCACAGGATGCGATCGCGCGACTCTGCCCGTAAGCAATCTCCCAACTCATCTCTGGTATCGACAGGTTGCGGAAGAGAGAGGGCACGTTCAGTCGCCGCGGAGTGGGGGTGGAGAGAGGCTGCCGAGTGGTGTGAGCCGGCCGATCGACGAGTTGCGTGTAGTGGGCGTAGTAGTAGGTAAGGTCGAGGACTGGTCGGCTTGCGGCGGAGTGGGACGAGGGCGCAGGATCGCTGGCAGCCCGGTGGCCGAAAACCAGCTGTGCTGGTGGGTGCTCGCGAGTGCTCCGGTGAGTGCTGGTGCGCGACCCGCGTCCTCTGTCAACCCTGTCAACACTATCGACACTATAGGTACCGTTACCACTGATCCGTCGGTATTCCCGATATTCTCGATATCCTCGATATCCCCGATATCCTCGATATCCTCGTCGACGATATCGACACCGTTGACAGGTAACGCGCCGTGCCACCTGGCGGACACGCCAAAGCGGATCTCGCGAAGGTCTCCAGGGAAGATGTAGTGCCTGTCCCCGGAGAAGGTGACCTCGGCGCGCGGCCGGATGCCCTAGAGGCGAGAAAAACCTAGAGCCCCCGAAGCCGTCGCCCGACTCGCCAGCTGGCTGCCGACCGTCGACATGACGACGAGGGAGCTCTACGTCAAGGTACCGCCTCCGATTGGCCGCGGCCCGCGAATCTGGAGCAGACACCACGTCGGCTCGGAGCCGGGACTTCCTCGGGGAGATCGATAGGACGCGGGCCGAGATGCCGTGCCGCGGAACTCCCGTGACCGGAGAATCGTCGCGGTCGTAGGAAATTAAGCTGACGAGATATTGACTTATTTTCTTTCACCTTTCTTTGGAATATCTTAGATCATTCCGAGTCTCTTCTAAACCGCGTTATCCGTGGACTGTTTTTGAGAATTCGCTTTTCTTTCGCTTGTCGGGTCCCAAGTGTGCATTGGTTTTTCGAAATGGGATTTCTTATAACACGGTTCTATGTGTAAGTCGCGTGTTATGAAAGGGACCCGTTTCGGAAAGTGAGACGGGTTTCTTTTATATTTCTTTGTTTTCTTGCAGTTAAGATGACATGAAAGGGTCATTATNGTCAAAATATTTATAATACTTTTATTCAAACTAGGTGCACCGAATAATTTGAAACTTTAACACGTGATTATGGAGGCCCTAAGGAAGAACGCGATGCTTGTGAACTTCATTTAAAAAAAAGAGAAACATTTTTTTTTAGCCTAAACTAAAACCAAAATCATATTTTTTTGTGAAAAGTGAAATTTTACGAGCATCGCGTCCTTTCTCAGGGCCTCCATAATCGCGTGTTAGAATTTCAGATAATTCGGAGCACCCGGTTTGGAGAAATGTTTGATAAATATGTTGACTTTTTGGTAGGTACGTGTATATATATATATATATATATATATAATATCTCACAATTTCATATCACTTTAAGACTTATTTTATCCGTAGCCTTTAAATGGTTAAAAGACGTTTTTTAACGCTGAAAGTGAGGTATGAGTACGAGTCTCACTCCTCTTTTTTTTTTGTTTACGTTAATCGATACATGGAAAACCATGTTCTTGATGAATTATGTATAGAAAAAGGAAATTCCGTAAGTTGAGGAAGACTCGGAGGAAACTGTTTTCAACTCGTGTTTCTCCTATCTCTTTTACAGTATACGCTAATTCGCTACATTGAAAGTCTTAGACCCTACCTGGAGGAAACAATGAACGTTGAAAGGACTGTGAGGAAATCAGTTTTAACTCGCGTTTTTCTTGGTCTTTTTTTCCCCCTGGCGCTAATTTGCCGCTTTCGAAAGCCCCTTCGGGGATGTATACGGAGAAGAAAATTCGCACGGGCTGAAAAACTGAAAGCTGAATCGGTTTACGAGGGAATAAATTTTCATTTGTGTCTTTTTCGTCTGTCACGCTAATTAACCCGATTCAGAATTGCGCTTCTATGTGTCCACGAAGCAGAGAACTCTCGTGAGTTTAATCCTTTGAAGACGGAGCCATTTCGACATACGGGCGAAATTCGTCTGACCGTGCAGGCAATATTGGACCTAACGTCGGCCGCCTTTAGGCGCTCTTAGTAGCCAAAAGGTTAAAAACGAAAGGGATTATGATAGAGTAAATGTGAATTCCCGTTGTTTATTTTTTTTTTGTTATTTATGTTTCTCCTCCGACGTTCAAAATTGTCTTCGAATTATGTTACGATATTTTTGAAGGCCTTAAAGGGGGGATTTTTCGATTTTTCGTTTTCTTGTTTTCTATTTATGCTGATTTCTTTCATTCAATATCATCGTTTTAAGGTGTCCGGGACTGCGAACTGAAGAAATTCACGGGAGAAGTGATAAGACATTTAGCAGATTATGGGGAAATAATAAACGCTAATTCAGGTTTATTTCTTATTCGCGGTAATTTCTTGCGTTTCAAATCGTACATTAACGATGCCTTCGGGAAGAAAAATTTGCATAAACAGGGATGGTGAAAAAACTCTTCGTGAGAAGTGATAAGCACTCGGCGGATTACGCGGGAATAAGCACGAATTCACGCTCAGTTGTTAATTACGCTCCAGGTTAAAAATCATTCTCCGTTGCCTTCCTGAAAATAATATTCCCGCAAACTGTGAGGTCGATGATACGCGAGAAGTTATAATCATTCGGGAAATGACGGAGGAATAAACTTGAATTCTTTGTTTATTTACGCTAACTTTCGATATTGAAGACCATATACTGCAATGTCTTCACCGAAGAGAAATTGCTCAAACTATAATTCGAAAGAACTCACGCGGGACGTGACAACAATTCAGGAGATAACGTAGGAATAAACTCGAATTCTTTGTTTATTTACGCTAATTTTCAATATTAAAGATCATGCACTGCAATGTCTTCACCGAAAAAAAATTGCTCTAACTGTAAAGGCGAAAGAACTCACGCGGGACGTGATAACCATTAAGGAGATAACGTAGGAATAAACTCGAATTCTTTGTTTATTTACTCTAATTTCCAATATTAAAAATTGTACTACAATGTCTTCACCGATGAAAAATCGCACAAACCGTAAAGGCGAAGGAACTCGGGCGAGACGTGATAACCATTCAAGAGATAACGTAGGAATAAACTCGAATTCTTTGTTTATTTACTCTAATTTTCAATATTAAAAATTGTACTACAATGAACCGATGAAAAATTTCGCAAACCATAAAGGCGGAAGAACTCAGGCGAGACGTGGTAATAGAGGAATAAACTCGAATCCTTTGTTTATTTCCGCTAATTTCCAACATTAAAGATCATATACTCCAATGTCTTCACCGAAGAAGAATCGCGCAAACCGTAAAGGCGAAGGAACTCTGGCGAGACGTGATAACCATTTAAGAGATAACGTAGGAATAAACTCGAATTCTTTGTTTATTTACGATAATTCCCGACATTAAAAGTCACATTCTCGAAGGCCGCGAGGCGGAGAACGCGCGCGAGCCGTGAAGGGGAGATAACTCGCATGAGCTGAGAAGCAGAGAACACCGAAGAAGGCCTTGAGGAGTGAAACCAGATTTTGGTTGAAAATACAATCTAATACCTTTACTTTCCGTCCGCTAATCCGAGACCTTCTCAAAGTCGCGCATTTAGTCTGAATTGCCTGTCCATTAAATACCGATTTCGTCAACAAGGCCGAATTCAATGAATCGCCTTTGCAGATTACTTAAAGGGTTACACCACTTTGACCCACCCAAAAATTACGGTTTTTCAAGAATTTTTTTTTCAAGAATTAAAACGTTTTTATCCAAATTAAAGTACCGTAAGGTATTATACTACTATTAAACAACAAAATATATTTTTTTTGTATTTTTTTATTTACAAAAATGGCGGCTTGAAAGCCGATTTACCGGAGCGCTGCGAAAATCGATGATCGTGCGATGGGCTCGATAACTCAGTCCAGGTTTGAGCTAGAACAATGAACGAAAAAGAATTAGTTTCTGTACCCCAAAAGCTAGCGAAATACGTAGCCGTTTTCGAAAATGTGCATTTCTCACAAAATGGCATCGATTTGAAAGGAAAGATGCGTATTTTGCCATAAATTTCGTTAATTAATGTTGTATCAAAAATGCGAATATCAATACATTGAAAAAACCATACGTATTTCGCTAGATAAACTTATCACGAATAGAATAAAAAAGACTGAAGACGATTGATTGAAAATTGGCGGATCTAGAATGCCCACCGATTTTTAAAATGCAGTTTTAAGAAAAAACCGTTTAAAGTATAAACGCGAAAAATAAACGCGCAAAAATTGTTTTGATTTTTTTAATATTTCAAAGTGGTATAACCCCTTAAGATCGGCTGGAACGAAATTTGGTTTCTCGCAGAAGTCGAACCTGTCGCGAAGGAGAGTGAAAGAATTCTCGTGGGAAGAAGAAGAAAAAAGAAAAAGAGCTAATTCCTTTCCGTCGAATTCCCAACACGTGCTACCTGTTCTTCGCTCTCTAGGTCGCCTTTCTCTCATCGGCATGAAACGAGGTGCTCTCGTCAATTGTCACGGTAGAGGCCTAAGGGTCACTGGGCCGAATGCGCGTGCGCGAGACGGAATCGTGCGAGTTCGGTTCTTTTTTTTTCCCCCGAGTATGTCACGGTTCGATACACCACGTGTCTCGATTTATTCGAAATTCAATCTTTCTCTCATCGACATGAACGAGGTGCTCTCGTAAATTGTCACGGTAGAGGCCTAAGGGTCACTGGGCCAAATGCGCATGCGCGAGACGGAATCGGTCGAGTACGTTTCTTTCATTTCTTTTTTTTTTTCCCCAGTATGTGATGATTCGATATACGAAGTGTCTCGATTTATCCGCAGTTCAATTATCTTTCTCTCATCGACATGACCGAGGTACACTCCTTAATTGTCACGGTAGAAGCCAAAGGGTCACTGGGCCAAATGCGCATGTGCGAGACAGAATCGGTCGAGTACGTTTCTTTCATTTCTTTTTTTCCCCAGTATGTGATGATTCGATACACGAAGTGTCTCGATTTATCCGAAGTTCAATTATCTTTCTCTCATCGACATGAATAGGGTGCTCTCGTATATTGTCACGGTACAGGCCTAAGGGTCACTGGGCCGAATGCGCATGCGCGAAACGGAATCGCTCGAGTATGATTCTTTCTATTTTTTTTTGTTCACTTCATACAAAATTGTCATCATTCAACTTGCAATACCAATGATTCCCACAAAATTCATTTCGATGAAGTCAAGAAATTTTTTTAGCAAGAAGCATTTAGATCGATGCAAATTATTAATCTCGTCTAGAAAATAAATTTCTCTCTCAGAGTAGTCGCCGGACACGTGTGCACTAGGTACGATCGTTTACGTTCGACCTTTTTTTTTTTTCAGTCTTGGTCGGAATAATGATCTGATGTGCCTAAAGTGGATCGTCATTCGTTTTCTGGATCGCTTCGGGGACGTGTAACCTTCTTCGATTAGGTTCTGGGTCAAACATTTCCAACAATTCTCGTTCACCCAGACGACCGACTTTTTACCCTCATTCTAAATTTCCTGATATTCAATGTTCGTTAATTACCAATCCAGTCGAAGGGTCAATGAATGTAACGTATGTCTATTAGATAGGTCCTTTAAAGTGCATTCTTTGTCTGACCGAAATGTAAC